AATAATAATAATAATAATAATAATAAAATGATAATAACAGTAATAATAAAATAATAAAATTAATTAAAGTATCCCAAAAAAAACATATATATATTATAAATACAAAAATGATAATAATGATGATGACGATTATAAATATTTATTAATTATCTTATTAATTAATTAGTTTAAAAATTTTTTTTTGACTTATAAGAAATATTGTCCTACACCTGCTCTAGCTGGATTAACACGCTCTTGATCAGGTACGGCATTAAAAATTTTAAAGCTATTTTCATCGATTTGTAAGTTTTCATCAATTTGCATAATTGATGCTACATTACCACACCTGTAACAATAGTTAGGAGCTGACCATACTGTTACAAGATTGTCATCCGGAAACATATATTTAAACCCTTCTTGAACTAGTTGATGTGCTCGAGCTATCAAACTAAGATCGTTAACATGGTTGAACTGAAAAAAAATGATGCATGTTTTATTAGTTGAATTGATTAGTTTAGAGGGAAAGAAAATTATAATTTCTTTTAGTCGATTAAAATTTTTTTTTTAATTTTTTATCTTTTAAATTTAATAATTAAGGATTACTTCGTTTGTTACTTTAGCTCCGAATAACCATCCTGCTCCGCGTGGACTAACAGCCCATGTTTCAATATCTTCGGGATCAGACCACATCAAATCTATTTATCATGTTTAATGATGATAATAATATTGTTGTTATTATTATTATTATTGCTATTATTATTCATTTAATTATTCTATCCAAACAAAATTACATTGAATAATTATATTTACCACAAAATGATCCCTCATGTGGAATTTCTTGTGCTCTTGGTATTATTCTTATTTGATCTAATGTTCTAACTTCAGGTGATAATCCTCCATGAACACTTGGAACATCTACCTTCCCCATAAGTACCTTTTTTGAGATGACGATGGACTAAAAACTACTAACGGATATCTTCTGGTTTTCTTTATTTGTTCTCTCTTGTTCATTCTTGTTATTTCGTTTTTGACGTCACATAAGTGATGTCCATCTACGACCATTGTTTGTATTCAAGAATGAAATAGTTTTTGCCTTTTGCCTTTCATGATCAGAGTTCAATGACGTATCGATCACATGATATTGAAATTCCCCTATTATAGGACAAAAAAATTTTGTAGATCAATTGAAATAATAAAAATATTTTTAATCAAAACACATTTAAAAAAATAATTAAAATCAAAATTAATTTAATATATAAATTATAATTATAAAAAATATGGGC